CCAATATACGACCGCAAAATTTTTTGCGGTCGTATAAAAATAGGGATGCCAACATGCAGTTATGTCAGCTCATTGCCATGGACAAGTCGTTATTGAACACACAGTTATCCGAAATGCTTCTCATTTTACCTTAAAAGACCTGTTCTACGATGCAAAAATTAAAAATCTTTCGTAAAATGACCACAAACACATCAATATTTGTTAGAACCATCGTCACCCCTGATCCTTGTTTCAATAGGCATATACCTATCTATCTTTTGGATGAAATGAATTGTAAATTCCCACGAACTGTTTAAAAAATCACTGAAGTATTTGATGTTGATGAAGCCCCATATCCCCATGTTAATCTTTTGGCATGCAAGCAAAACTCTTCTTTTTTGGGGGGGAATTTAAAGAGTTCCAACGAGACCAAGGTGATGCAGTATTGTGATTGGCATGCTCATAATAATTAGAGGTGTGTAATTGGTTCAACCAATTCTAGTCAAGCTACTGAGTTATAAATGCATTACAGCTTTTAGGAGCAAAAGAAAAGAGTATTTTGCTCAGTAAGAAAAATGCATGTGAATGGGGTGACAGGTATTTCAAGGGAATATTTTAATACATTTGGATCTACATAGATAGCAATATAATTATCTTACTCAGGATGTTGTTTTAGTACATAGCAAGAAATATTCACCTCACTCATTATTTTGATCCTAAATATGCATAAATAGTTCCAACTAGATGTCAAGCAGCCAATAAATAAAGTCAACAGTAGTATATATACCGCTGTTCAATAGTCATAATTCGATTAAGCAAAAACAAATCCGGGTAACAAACTAAAACCGAGGGAAACACATCAGCTATAAGAGGAAAACAATGGAACAACAGAAACACTGAACTACAAAAATAAACAATCATTACCATATAATGAAAACTATCAAATATCTTTCAGGGGCATTTTTTGGGATACGTACACATATTTTGAAGAAAATAACCAAAATTAACTAAACCACAGTGAGACAAGAAAGTCTAATATGGTACAGGCACCAATAAATCAAATTATATGCATTAGAACATCTTTTGCTACTCATTTTTCTATGAAATAACCCAGTTATAACATGTACATAAATTGTACAACTTCTAAATCACACAGTTTAAAAAAAAAAATTATACTGCTCGCTTCACTTGTAGAGCACTCGCCTCAAAAAAAACTCATTTTCATAAATATATAAATACAAAAAAATTTCGCTTGCTCGCCCCATACTTTTTGGAGCTTTTGTCCGAAGAACTATGAATCAAATTGGTGTGGCCTTAGATCGTTAATTTGTGTCTAGTGTTTTTGCGAGTTGTTTTTGTGCTTTGTATTGATCGGGCAAGCCCTTTTCAACTGATTTTTATAGTTTGTTAAAATATTGTGCTTTTACATCACTGTACCATATTGGGGAAGTGAAGTGGTACCTTTAATAACTTACTTTATGGTATGGGTTTCATTTTATTAAAGCTGCTGTCGTCGAAAAAATGCCTTCAGAATTTGTTGAGGCGAGACAAAAGTGATTACCAATAAGTCATAGCTATTTTAACACAAGAGGCTCTCAAGAGCCTGAATCGCTCACCTGTATTTCAGAGGAGAAGATTTTTAAATGTTAGCAAACTTGATGAACAAATTGTGTAAAATTGTCTTTAAAGGGCAAAAACTCCTTAAGGGGTCAATTGACAATTTTGGTCATATTAACTTGTTTGTAGATCTTACTTTGCTGAACATTATTGCTGCTTACAGTTTACATATATCTATATTCAAAATGATAACAAAAAACTGCAAAATTTTGTTAAAACTACCAATTCGGTGGCAGCAACCCAACAATGGGTTGTTCGATTCGTCTGATAATTTCAAGGCCGATAGATCTTGACCAATTAAACAATTTTACTAAACAATTTTACCCCATGTCACATTTGCTCTAAAAGATTTAGTTTTTGAGATATAAGCCAAAAACTGCATTTGACCCTTATGTTCTATTTTTGGCCATGGCGGCCATGTTTGTCAATGGATACAAACTTCGGATACAATTTATAAACAAGATACCCTAAGCAACATTTAGTTAAAGTTTGAAGGTAGTTGGCCCAGTAGATTTTTAAATGTTAGCAAACTTGATGAACAAATTGTGTAAAATTGTCTTTAAAGGGCAATAACTCCTTAAGGGGTCAATTGACAATTATGGTCATATTAACTTGTTTGTAGATCTTACTTTGCTGAACATTATTGCTGCTTACAGTTTATATATATCTATAATAATATTCAAAATAATAACAAAAAACTGCAAAATTTTGTTAAAACTACCAATTCGGTGGCAGCAACCCAACAATGGGTTGTTTGAATCATCTGAAAATTTCAGGGCCGATAGATCTTGACCAATTGAACAATTTTTTTGCATTTGACCCTTATGTTCTATTTTAAGCCATGCAGCCATGTTTGTCAATGGATACAAACTTCAGATACAATTTATAAACAAGATACCCTAAGGAACATTTATTTAAAATTTGAAGGTAATTGGCCCTGTAGTTTCAGAGGAGAAGATTTTTAAATGTTAGCAAACTTGAACAAATTGTGTAAAATTGTCTTTAAAGGGCAATAACTCCTTAAGGGGTCAATTGACAATTATGGTCATATTAACTTTTTTGTAGATCTTACTTTGCTGAACATTATTGCTGCTTACAGTTTATATATATCTATAATAATATTCAAAATAATAACAAAAAAACTGCAAAATTTCGTAAAAACTACCTATTCGGGGTCAGCAACCCAACAATGGGTTGTTCGATTTGTCTGAAAATTTCAGAGCTGATAGATCTTGACCAATTGAACAATTTAACTCCCATGTCAGATCTGCTCTAAAAGCTTTAGTTCTTGAGATATAAGCAAAAAACTGCATTTGACCCCTATGTTCTATTTTTAGCCATGGCGGCCATGTTTGTCAATAGATCAAAACCTCAGATACATTTTATAAACTAGATACCCTAAGGAACATTTAGTTAAAGTTTGAAGGTATTTGGCCCAGTAGTTTCAGAGGAGAAGATTTTTGAAATAGTTGACGATGACAGACGACCAAGTGATGGCATAAGCTCACATGGGGCCCTTTGGGCCCCGTTGAGCTAACAAGAGTGCACACGCTGAAATGTCTCGCCTGTTTTACTGATCATTGATTTTATGTTGAAAGTCTTAAAGATAAAGGTTTTACTACAAGTATCGCATAAACTTAACATTTTTAAAGATCCATGACAATGAGGTCAAGGTCAGATAAAAACTGTCACACAGACATGTACACCTTACAATTATTCCATACACCAAATATAGTTGACCTATTGCTATTAGCATGATTAGTATTTGAAAAACAGACCAAAACACAAAAACTTAAAATTGACCAATGAACCATGAAAATGAGGTCAAGGTCAGATGACATTGGCTAGACAGACATGTACACCTTACAATCATTTCATAAACCAAATATAGTTGACATATTGCTTATAGCACTTATAAACAGACCAAAACACAAAAAAATAACAATGACCAATGATCCATGAAAATGAGGTCAAGGTCAAATGAAACCTGCCAGTCTGACATGTAGCCCTTACAATCATTCCATACACCACATATAGCTGACCTGCTGCTTGAAGTATCTGAAAAACAGACCTAATCATGTTAATTTAACCTTGATCACTGATCCATGAATTGAGGTCGAGGTCAGGTTAACCCTGTCTGACGGACATGTAGACGTTGCAAGGAACCCATATACCAAATAAAGTTATCCTATTACTCACAATAAGGGAAAAATTCACATGACAAAAAAACTGTATTTTTTTTTCAAGCAGTCACTTAACCATGAAAATGAGGTCAAGGACAAAGGACATATGACAGACGGAAACTTCGTAACATAAGGTATCTGCATACAAGGCATGAAGCATCCAGGTCTTCTACCTTCTGAAATATAAATTTTTATACAAATAGTTTACGCCGCTGGATAGTAAAACCTATGTCTTGCATACTGCGACTTTCGTCATAGGTGAGACAAAAACCATCCCTTATTTTCCAGAACAAGACTATTGTGTTAAGACCATGCAGCTTTGGCAGCTAAAAGGGCCTTGCAAGATGCAATTCAGAAAAATTTTGAGCATGGGTTTCCCATTCTCAGCTTATCAAGGTCCATTTGGGTGTACTTACCACATAAAATTGTTAGCAATCAATCATTTGAGCCCTGAACTGAATTAAATCTTTACATCCATGCAGAAAATATGTAAATATGCACACAGCTGGTGTTTTGAGGGAAACATTCTCAAAATATTGCCCATAAATGCAGTAAACCTTTTTGGACAATCATTAAGACAGGGTCCTACTGTCTAGCCTAATCTGTAATTAGGTCAAAAGGACATCAACCATACTTAAATTATATAGGATCTAAAATTTTTCATTATAAATTATATACAAAGAATCAGAACTTTATCTGCTATAACAGATGAACATGAAGCCAACAACAAATTTTGTGATCTAATATAAGTGAAAATTCCACTTGGAAGTTCCCATGGGTACTTCTAATAGTAGTTGGGAAAGTTTTTTCCGTTTCTACTGAGTAAACTGAAAAGGATCTTGCAACTTATGTATTATTACCTGATACAACATTGGCAAGACTGGTGGTTTACATCTTTGTAGGAAGAACACCAACAATAGGTAAAAACTGTATGCAGGCAATGTTCCTTCATCTTGCCGGTCAATCTTACAAATCTGTATACAGAAAAAAAAGTTATTATTATTTCTAATGGAAAAGAAAGGATATGACATATTCAAAGTGTATTATGTATGAACCCTAGAATGGAACATAAACATGATTAAAAGTTAAAACGTAAAATTGCATTTTTTTTATTATTTTTTCAACATTTGCATCATCTACTGCTACGGTAAATACTTATGCTGATGAAATTAGGAAAACATTTTCTGGTAAGCACTACTACTTTTAACTCCAGTTTGACTATACATGCTAGAGTCTAGGATTCCCTTATGTTTCTCCTATTGAAATTCATTTATCATAGAAAATTCGTCAGGGGTTCCACTGAACCCTGTGTCTCGCCTACAATTGCTGCTGTCAGTGTAAAATTGTAATGTTGACTTAAAAAGTGAGTCCATTTATCAGTAAAATACAGGTCCAAGTTTCATAACAATCCATGAAGGTTTACAAACTTATCATGTCAAAAAATTTAAACCCAGACTGTCTGTAAATGTTAACTGTAAAAAAAAGTCCATCTATCAGAAAAATACAGAAAATGAAAATATATTTTCAAAAGTTTGCTTCAGACATTATCTCTTATTCATAAAAAAAAGCTTCTGCCAAAAGTTTCATAAAATTCTATGAAGGTTTGACAAAGAATTTGATGTGTAACAAACCTTAACCCAAGACTCTATCTACTTGTTAACTGTAATAAAATGCTCCGCTGGGGCGCAGCTTGATACGACCGCAGAGGTCGAACCCTGAACAGTTGGGGCAAGTATGGACACAACATTCAAGCTTGATACAGCTCTGAATTTGGATTGTGATTAAATATTTGACACAGCATAGGTTTCTGACACAGAATGAATGTGGTCTAAGAACTTAAAAAATTTTAATTTATCTATTCAAACCATATCATTATTATTTGCTTTTATATATAAATCAGAAATAACCAATTTAAAATGGAAAATTTTAAAGAAAAAAAAAGAAAAAAAGGAAACCCTCCCCCCCAATTTTTTGAACCGCCTTATGATTCATCAGCCCAAAACTCAATAACAGCCTTCCCTTTGTGGTATGGTACCTTGCAGTATAATTTCAGAGAGATCCATACACTTGAACACAAGTTACTGTCTGGAAACTAGAATAAAATGCTCCGCAGGGCGCAGCTTGATACGACCGCAGAGGTGAAAACCCTGAACAGTTGGAGCAAGTATGGACACAACATTCAAGCTTGATACAGCTCTGAATTTGGATTGTGATTAAATATTTGACACAGCATAGGTTTCTGACACAGAATGAATGTGGTCTAAGAACTTAAAAATTTTAAATTGGACATTCACCTATTATGGTCCAATATCCAAAATCTAAATACATGGTTAGATTCAGCATATCAATGAACCCCAAGAATTCAATTTTTGATGAAATCAAACAAAGTTTAATTTTAGACCCTTTTGACCTCAATGTGGACAAAGTTGATAACGGGGCCCAAAAATCAAAAATCTAAATACATGGTTAGATTCAGCATATCAAAGAACCCCATATATTCAATTTTTGTTGAAATCAAACAAAGTTTAATTTTGGACCCCGATTTGGACCAACTTGAAAACTGGGCCCATAATCAAAAATCTAAATACATGTTTAGATTCAGCATATCAAAGAACCCTAAAAATTCAATTTTTGTTAAAATCAAACTAAGTTTAATTTTGGACCCTTTGGACCTTAATGTAGACCAATTTGAAAACAGAACCAAAAATTAAGAATCTAAATACACGGTTAGATTCGGCATATCAAAGAACCCCAATAATTCAATTTTTGATGAAATCAAACAAAGTTAAATTTTGGACCCTTTGGACCTCAATGTGGACCAATTTAAAAACGGGGCCCAAAATCCAAAAACTGAATACACGGTTAGATTCAGCATATTAAAGAACCCCAAGAATTCAAGAATAAAACCCCATTGAAATTGATCAAGAAATAAGCAATTTATAGGAAGTATCTTCTTTTGCACAATACTGTGCAATTGAATATTTCTTGCTATTGCGCAATACTGTACAATTGACAATTTCTTGCTATTGCGCAATATTGTGCTATTGGATATTTCTTGCTGTTGCGCAATACTGTGCAATTGAAGATTTCTTGCTATTGCGCAATACTGTGCAATTGAAGATTTCTTGTTATTGTGCAATACTGTGCAATTGAAAATTTCTTGCTATTGCACAATACTTATTATTTAATAATTTACACATCCTGTTTGGTGTGTATCTCCTACCATATCATTATTATTTGCTTTTAAATATAAATCAGAATTAACCAACTTAAAATGGAAAAATTTTAAAAGAAAAAAAAAGGAAAAAAAGAAAAAAAAAGAAAAAAAAAAAAATCCCCCCCCCCAATTTTTTGAACCCCCTTATGATTCATCACCCCCAAACTCAATCCCAGCCTTCCCTTTGTGGTATGGTACCTTGCAGTATAATTTCAGAGAGATCCATACACTTGAACACAAGTTATTGTCTGGAAACTAGAAAAATGCTTATTTTTGGCCCCTTTTTGGCCCCCAATTCCTAAACGTTTTGGGCAATTACCCCCAAACTCAATTCCAGCTTTCCCTTTGTGATATGGAACCTTGTAGTACAATTTCAGAAATATCCAAACACTTACACACAAGTTATTGTCATGAAACTAGAAAAATGCTTGTTTTTTGCCCCTTTTTTGGCCCCTAATTCCTAAAATTTTGAGGCAATTACCCCCAAAATCAATTACAGCCTTCTCTTTGTGATATGGAACCTTGTGGTACAATGTCAGAGAGATCCATACACTTACACACAAGTTATTGTCTGGAAGTTACAAAAATGCTTATTTTTGGCCCCTAATTCCTTAACTGTTGGTACCATAACCCCCAAAATCAATCCCCACATTCCTTTTGTGGTATTGAACCTTATGGTAAAATTTCATGGAGATCCATTCACTTAATCTAAAGTTAGAGTGCGAAAGCCAATGTGTCTTCGGACGAAGCCGGACGACGCCAACGTCATACCAATATACGACCAAAAAATTTTTAATTTTTGCGGTCGTATAAAAATGCTTGTTTTTTGGCCCCTTTTTGGCTCCAAATTCCTCAATGTTTAGGAAAATTACCCCCAAACTCAAACCCAGCTTTCCCTTTGTGATATGGAACCTTGTAGTACAATTCCATAAAGATCCATACACTTACACACAAGTTACTGTCCTGAAACTAGAAAAATGCTTGTTTTTTGCCCCTTTTTGGCCCCTAATTCCTAAAATTTTTAGGCAATTACCCCCAAAATCAATCCCAGCCTTCCCTTAGTGATATGGTACCTTGCAGTACAATTTCAGAGAGATCCATACACTTGAACACAAGTTATTGTCTGGAAACTAGATAAATGCTTATTTTTGGCCCCTTCTTGGCCCCTTTTTCCTAAACGTTTTGGGCAATTACCCCCAAACTCAATTCCAGCTTTCCCTTTGTGATATGGAACTTTGTAGTACAATTTATAGAAAAATCCATACACTTACACACAAGTTATTGTCATGAAACTAGAAAAATGCTTGTTTTTTGCCCCTTTTTTGGCCCCTTATTCCTAAAATTTTGAGACAATTACCCCCAAAATCAATCCCAGCATTCCCTTTGTGATATGGAACCTTGTGGTACAATGTCAGAGAGATCCATACACTAACACACAAGTTATGTCTGGAAGTTACAAAAATGCTTATTTTTGGCCCCTTTTTGGCCCCTAATTCCTTAACTGTTGGTACCATAACCCCCAAAATCAATCCCAACCTTCCTTTTGTGGTATTGAACCTTATGGTAAAATTTCATAGAGATCCATTCACTTAAACTAAAGTTAGAGTGCGAAAACCAATGTGTCTTAGGACGACGACGACGACGCCGCCAACGTCATACCAAAATACGACCACAAAACTTTTTTGCGGTCGTATAAAAAAACTAAGATCATTCATTTATCAGTAAAATATGGAATTTATTTTCAAAATTTCTGGATACTGTATTTTAGTCATTAACAAGCTTCTGTCCAAATTTCATAAAATTCCATGAAGGTTTGACAAAGTTATTGATGTCTAAAAAAACTTTAACGACTGAACCTAAATGTTGACGCTGCCAATGCCGGAATCTAGGATCACTATGTCGCACTTTCGTGACAGAAATGTTGCATGCTCAACAAAAATAATTAATGCTATAAAACTAACGTTGCACACAGCAAAGTTGTGTTCCTTATAAGTCATCTTCAAACCATGCAAATTATACATCATATTTAAAACTAACCAAGAAACCATCGAAACTTGTATTGTTCTGCTGTCTTTTTTTAAGTTTGCAAACCCAGAAATATTTTAATAGTTAAGTAACTTCTTAATATCTGCTACCATGTTGCTTTCACAATACACAGAGATAAACATTCACCCAATATCAGCATGAAATCAAAATGTGTTTCTTACAATCAATACATGTAAGCATAGTCTGATGCTCATCTAAATGATTACTTACTTAAATCTATCACTGGATCTCCAAAAACTGTTGCATAATGATTACACAAATTTCAAGTTAATATTACAATTTTTGAACCTGAGTATTTCAGGCATAAAATAATCTACTGTAACTTATTGCAATGGTAACTGGTCAATAAAGGAACAGAAACCGCTTTCATTACAGTTTTGAAAGCTTATTTAAAGTCACTGTAAGAACTATAACATATTCACATTCAATATGCTGAAGGAAAGGAGTAGGTTCACAAAGGGTCCATATTGGCCCTAAAATTAGGCGAAATTTAACTTTAGTTATACAAATAAAAATTTGATGACAAAACATGTAAAAATATCTGACAAAAGCAAATTCAACAAGCATTCTGAGAGTATTGCATGGCAATACATAGTCCCCTACCGGTTAAAAATTCATTGTACAGGGTAATTGTCATGGTAAAACTGTAGACCAAATATCTAATCAATATCTTCAAGTATGATGAAAAAAAGTGTGGAAAACTGTTTACTTGTGTGAGTTTTCGAAGGGCCAAATAATATCAATGGAAATGAGATGTGCCAATGCTAATACAACTGCATACCAAATATCGTTGACCTACCACTAGTTGTTCACCATAAACTAGACCTTATCACAAACTAATACATTGTTGACGCCACCACCGCTGGAAACACCATACCTATGTCTCCCTTTTTGACTCCGTCAAGGCGAGACAAAAATAAGCATTCACTTTCATTTTCACTTAATATGATATTGTTTATTTATTACAAGGCACTTAATAATAACTAACAAGAATTCTGAGAGTATTGCATGGCAATACATAGTCCCCTACCGGTTAAGAATTCATTGTACTGGAACAAAATGCTAACTTGATCTATCACTTGTCATGGTGTAAACTATATAACAAATATCAAGTCAATATCTTCAAGCATGACGAAAAAACTTGTCATGATAAAATTATATACCAATTATTAAATCAATATCTTCAAGCATAACAAAAAAAAGTGTGAAAACTGATTATTTCAGTGAATTTTCTAAGTCCAAGGACCATAACTGTGCACAAAATCATCAGACTGGAACATAATTTGAACTTGATCTATAACTTGTGATGATAAACTATATACCAAATTTCAAATCAATATCTTCAAGCATGAAGGAAAAAAGTGTGGAAAACTGATTTGCCAGACTGATGGATGAACAGACAGACGGAGTGCAAACCTAAAGTCCTCTTCGACTTCATCGGTAGGGGACTAATTATACATGTACCTTTGCCCAGTATCTTAAAACAACAGCCATTTTCAGGAATCTTTGATCACATTCTGCATACAACTTTAATAACAAACTGCAATTCCTGGCTGATTCATTGTTTATTGTTATTCTGTACTGAACTTTGCTGACAGTAAAATAAATACATGGCACTTTTGAACTAAAGTCACTGATCACATTTTCATATTTTTCTGTAAGATAAAAAAATGTAGAATAATACACAATGTACATCATGTGTTAATAAACTGTTATCACAGAGATATGTCTCGCCTTTTTGTAATTTTGATAATGCAAATGTTGAAATTAAAATAGCAATACTTAACATGTAAGTTATGCAAATATTCAAAGTCAATGAACCATGACTGAAGGTACATGGCTAAACAATCTCCATTGAATGAGATGTGCCAATGCTAAAACAACTGCATACCAAATACCATTGACTTATTATAAGTCGTTCCCTTTAAACAAACCTAAACACAAACATTAACTTGTAAACTATGTAAAAGTTTCAAAGTCAATGAACCATGATCAGGGGTGGGCTATATAATCTCCATGGAAACAATACTTGCAAATGCCAATAAATTTGCATACCAAATATCATTAACTTAACATAAGCAGTTCATCTTAAACTGATCTAATCACAAACTAATACATGTAAACTAAGCAAAAGTTTCAAAGTAAATAGACCATGACTGAGGGGGCAGGGCCAAATATTCTCCATGGAAATGAGATGTGCTAATGCTTATACAACTGAACACCAATTAACATTGGCCTACCACTAATGGTTCCCCTTGAACTGACCTTATCACAAACTAATACATGTTAACTTAGCAATTTTTTCAAAGTCTATAGACCATGACTAAGGGAGCGGAGCCAAATAATCTCCTTGGAAATGAGATATGCCAATGCTTATACAACTGCATACCAAATATCAATGACCTACCACTAGTGGTTCCCCATAAATTGACCTAATCACAAACTAATACATGTAAACTATGAAAAGTTTCAAAGTCAATAGACCTTGACTTAGGGGGCGGGGCCAAATAATCCCCATGGTAATGAGATGTGCCAATGCTAATACAACTGCATACCAAATATCATTGACCTACTACTAGTGGTTCAGCATGAACTAGACCTAATCACAAACTAATACATTGTTGACGCCCCCGCCTTGGCCGACACCAGAAACAGCATACCTATGTCTCGCTTTTTGACTCCGTCAAGGCAAGACAAAAACATGTGCAACTAAATTGTAGCTACATACATATCTTTTATCATTATTTCATACAGAATACTATTGTTCACCTTGGAAAATGTATGTGACCTCTAGATATCTTATCTGGTTTAATTGTGTTGCTGGCTAACGGTTTTGATGATGTATGCCAACACTTCTTTGTATTCTATTTTTTTGCAACCAGAACTTAAATCATTAAAATCAAACAATTTAATGTTGAAATTTTCATCAAAAGGGTCTACATCTCAAGATTTCAAAGTCAATTTTAAACCTTTAACGTGATTTGAAAGGTGTGGTCAAGGGTATAACATATGCTTTTAAAAGTCATAAGACAACAACTGTGTGGAGAAAAGATTAAGTATTCACTGCAAGACACCAAATCAAAGCATTCTTCATCAATGTTCCATTTAAGTTAAATGCTTACAGTTTCACTATTAAGTGACAATACTTTCCAGAAATCTATGTCTTGAATAAATCCAGTGTTCTCCCCAGGCCCTTAAAGGACCGCGGAACCGCGATGTATAATTTTCTACCGTGGTGGTATCGTTCTTGCCGCGATATATAATTTTTCTCCGTGGTGCTAAAATTTTCGGTAAAAAAATCGTAAATCGGTAAAGTTTTAAACGACTTGTTAAACCTTTTCCGTGGGGTATAAAATTTCAGATGAAAACTGACCAGTTCAAACCAGTTCAATCCAGTTCTTACAACTAGGTTGTTTACACCACGTGATCCATTTACCTTTTGAGGTTAACCTTGATGATTGGATTTAATCGATGTACATGATTCTTTTGTGTTTTAATTAATTAAGAGATCATAATTAATGATCAGACTTGTGAGGGACAAGCAGACATTTGTTAATTAACTCTATTACTCCAGCCTTTGGTTATAAATAATTTGCGTATTTTAAACGTGTTGGAGTTACTTCCCCTGATTTAGCATATTACAAATAAGTGCTCCTTAAATATTATCTATCACTGAAAATAGAAATAAAGTACAAATTGAATGCAAAATTATATAAGAATGTTGGCTTAAGGATAAAAACTTTCTTTCAACATACCAACAAAAATATATTGCAAATTATTTTTGATAATCATACTTTTATTAATGCACAGACATATTATAATAAATAGGTAGTATTTTCCAATTGGGAATTAACTTGTGTTAAAGAAGTCCCAGTCTTAAGACACTGAATGGAACTCAGCTTGATATGATATATGGGTGTACAGATAGATGATATAAATTTACTTCTCATGTCTGTCTACCAAGTAACACAATAATGATTCTAATAATAATTGTA